CAGCACACACACAGGCATACACACATAGGGAGATATGAGCCATGTGGCATAGGACTAGTAGTTGCAAATTCCTCAAAATTGTATTGATAAATGCATTTGCTAATTGTATTAATTAATAGTAGACATTTGTACTAATCACTGCATGATGCGTCTCCTGAGATTCATTTGACCGTGTATTAAGTCAACAGTGGTTCTGTACTGTGTAATTCAGAGGCGACGCGCATATTTGATCGACAGGTGGAGAAATATAGCTTCAAGATTACTAGAGGTACCGGTGTTACTATTTAGTACTCCAATGTCAATTGATCACGGTTGATAGTGTTTTGACCCATTTAACCAATCACAAAGAGTTGTGTTAATTAAGAACACCTGAAATAATAGCGTATCTCAGGTTGCAGTTAAGCTGTCACACAACTTCGAATGGGATGATGCGTGACATTTTGCAACATACCATGAACAGTTATTTATGGATGTAGCTCATGTCTGTCATCGGTGCCAGTTTCTGTATCCCATCTTTGTTGCTACATTACTAATAGAAGTCATTGTACTTCATATTAGTTTTATTATTCATCTCGTCTTCAAAAATTGTGAACTAAAATTGTCACAATTTCTATTTGTCATTAATAAAATGACCTTTAACAACATTCTTAATCTAAGTTGTTTTGTGTTATGTTAAAAAAATAGTGCAACAAAACAAGCTTCAGTCTCTGAACATTAATTATCCAAGCTGACATAAATGTTATTTATTGGAACAATAAATATATTTATGTAAGTTGGCAATTACCATAAGTATTATATAATTATGTCAATATTTGTTAATCATGAATATGTACAGGCTCTTAGCTTTCAATGTTCTCGTTGTTATAAGGAGCTATAGGGTTTACGTCTGGGATGCAGCCCATCAGCTTTATCATGAGTGACCATCGCGGCATTGCTATTTTTAAACTATCAAGTGAACTAAAAAGTGATTTCCATACTATGCCTGGATCATTATGGGCTAGTGGATGCGTGACCTTTGGGTGAGTAATCTGCTTGACCAATCAGCGTCATGCATTTCTCCCTTCCGTACCAATCAGCGCGGCGCGCACTACTGGGGTCTGGACACTGACGCGGCCCCTTCATCACTTGTAGATTTCACTGTAGCAGCCTCATTGGGATACTTTTGTGTAATGAAGTAACTTCTCCTATCCAGACATCTCAACTCTATTAAAAACCACCATCCCTCCCTTTTAACTTCCTTATAATTACATTGTCTAGCTTTGAGCCTTTACAGCTATATCATTGTTTACACGCCTATGTATGCCAATCCTGTATCCCATCTTTGTTGCTACATTACTAATAGAAGTCATTGTACTTCACACTAGTTCACAATTTTTGAAGACGAGATGAATAGTCATTGTACTTCATATTAATTTATTATTCATCTCGTCTTCAGAAATTGTGAACTGAAATTGTCACAATTTCTATTTGTCGTTAATAAAATGACCTTTAACATTGTTTTTTGTGATGTTAAATAGTGCAACAAAACAAGCTTCAGTCTCTGAACATTAACTATTCAAGCTGACATAAATGACATGTGCTATAATTAATCATGTTGCTTGTAGAGGAACTACAAGCAACATGATTAATTATAACACACTAATATATGACACTTTGCCATCTTTGCCAATAAAATACGTTGAAATGAATGTTCAGTATTCCGTCAAACGTATATCGACATTGAAAACGAAATAGACGCCAAATGCATTACTGTTGACTGTAATGATGTAATGATAACTGTTACTTGATAGAGAATCACTACCCCTGATTATGTCTTTTATGGTTTAAAAAAAACCTATAAATACGACTTATTTCAAAACAAATATATCTAAGATGATATTGTTTTCAGATTCGATGTGTAATGACTGTATTTCCCCACACAGATCAAACAAGGTTGATTTAGTATCGGATGGTTTGATGATATGGCCTTGAACACATATATACTACAATGTACCTATAAGTGATGAAGAATATCTGCATGATAATGCAACCCGTATTTCAAGGAATCAGATAGATGGCGGTATTCCATTAAATTTGACTTCAATTCGTCAAAATGGGAACACACCAGTTGTTATGTTCTGCTAAAATACTGACAAATGTATATACAGATCTTTATATAAAATCATGCTTGTTAAATTATTTCGTCATAAACGATATCAAATCAATTCATCTGCTAAAATTCAAACGTTTCCAGCATTGATGACATTTTGTCTCATATAAATAATCTGAAATCGTTATTGTCCGGTTTTTTTCCATTTTATCATTTGAGATGCCAACCTATCTGATTTAGTTGTACGTGTATGAAATAAGAAAGGGATCAGATATGGTACACATTGCTAGCAATCTGTCATAATTCATGGAATTTGTCACAATTTTAAAACTATCTACCAGACTGTTGTGAATTTTCGCATTGTTTAGCCTTTCGATATGAAGAGCAAAACAAACGATACAGTCTGCAGAAATAGGCGACGTAGTTTAAGCAAAATAATTTATTTCTTTTTGTAGTCTATGTTTCCATATACCAAAGTAATATTGAGGGCACTTTCTGTTATATAATTTCATAGATAGATAATGATCTACCTTATAACATTTCGTTTTAATTTTTAGCTATTTGTTTATTTTTCTCTTACTGTAAATATCGGCCCGTTGCATAGAGCGTATTGAACAAACGGTTTTGGCTTTCATACATTAAGCATAGTGTGAACAATAAATTGAATTATGAACCTCATTTGACACTCTGAAAGTAGATCGTGTGGTAAAGACATCAATAGTTCTTGGCATGCATGAAAATATTGGTATTTCGCCACACTTTTGAAATATATAACATACATGTACATTATTATACAAATACGCACTCTATACATTATATGAAATTTAAACAAAATACAAATGAAATGAGTTTAAAGGCTATGACATGTGGTCACATCACGTAGGACGCATGTTACTATACGATCCCAGGCATGCTTATCATGAAACAACACCGATATATTCTAGTATTTACACATAATCACTGATAGACCAGCAGATAGGTGAAGATGTTTGGGGGTAATTGTGTGCACCTCATGATTAAGCTTTGGAATGTGAAGGTATCGAGACCATAACATAAGTTTTCATCACAATCAACCAGTAATATCCCATTAGCTGTGATTCTCCATGATGGTCTTTCATAAGTTTGTCTTTTTACATGATACCAAGTTGTCTTATGAGAAAGATTCGTGTCCACTGTTCAGACGAACATTTTTATTAATTTTTGTTTATTTAAATATAAATATTGGATACCTAACTAAATAAAATGGAAATAACGTTTTTAAGAGGAAAACAATGTTCGAAATTTTGTCAACATCATTTTGCATTCTACAATGAACAGAAAGAAGTCGATCGAAATCACTTGCTAAAATAGAATTGCGGTCCTACAGTGTCGTTCCATATCGCAATAATGGATTCTGCTGAACAGGAAGACAACGGAGACATTGTGCCATGCCCTAATGCAGTGTTATTAATTGTATAAACAAGATCACCTACACATCCTTTTAGTCACTAACGATGGTGTCAGGTGTAGTCTTTGCCAGCACATGATTCCACTCAAAATATCGCGATAAAAATATAATTCGTCGTAACCTTCTATTCGGAATTGATCCTATATTGATGTTTCCTAGTTTGACAGATATGTATTATTGACAAAATGATAACATAATTGTTGTACTTTGGACCGTGATGAAAGGGAATCCTACAGAACTAATGTTGTTTACAGTCGCCATTTCTAAAAGAGAGTTGGGGAGGGAAGGAAGCTTCAATGTTCTTTGACAGAAATGATAAGGTAAGTCATGCAATTATATTTAGATCACGCTAATACATTTGATACAATAAAGCAACAGATGTTATATCTACTTAAATACTGCTTGAAATATGATTAACAAATATTCTGTCGATCAAATAGATCAATTCTATAGGCTAAACGTCTAACGCCACTGTACCCAAATCGGGACACTTTTTAGATAAATATCAATGTTCTTTAATTATACCATACTATCAGTTCCAAAAACGTTTGTTCACTTTTCATAAAAAGACACTATCCACCTTTCATTTCTATTTCAAGTTGATATTTCGGGCTCGTGATTCTATAAATAAAACGCGAAATACCATCAGGGTAACGTTGGCCCTTGAACCGGTGTAACTGTACCCTGAAAGGGACACTTCGGTATTCTGGCTAACATTTGGGGATAAACGATCAATATCAGCAGAAAAGAAGACATATTTCAAATATTTTAAAGTCAAACAAGATTATGATTAAATTTCTTCTCCAAACTAGCATTAGTTTTGAAAAAATAGACTTTTGAAAATGATATCCAAATCAACAGCGTCGTGTGGTGTGAAATCGGGAAAGTTTTGTTTTTTTCAATATTCTTACCTTTACATTCTCCATGTAACGATAATCAGCAGCCAATAAAGCTTACATACAGTTAAAAGTCATAATAGTATCATCAAATGAGAACTGTATACATAAAAGTACTTCTTTGCATTGAATGATAGTTTCATGGGCCGTTTTCCCATTGAGTGTCCCGATTTGTTTACAGTGACGGTATATGTTCTATTGTGTATGGATCAAGGACGGCAACTTTTGGTCGAGATTGTAAATTAGAGACGGAATAATTTCCCTTGATCGTTCATAGTTCCTTACCAGTACCGTCATCAAATATTGAAACTTAACAGATTGTTCATCATCATCATCATCATCATCATCATCATCATCATATCATCATCATATCATCATCATCATCATCACATATACACAAAGACAACCATCATCATCATCACATATACACTAGGATAAGCATAAATCATCATCATCATTATCATCTACACAATGACAATCTAGATAGTTTAACTGATTCCATGTTTCTTATTTGACATATGGGATTTAAGTACAAACAGCCATATTTATCGTCATTTCAGGAAGCAAGATGGCTAACAGATGCTCTATAAACACAACAGATTTAGAGTTCCTCCCAGCCGACACGAATTCCTCCATACTTCAGGTATCGAGGTGGATGAACTTCTGTCGTGCTGTGTATGTGGACAAGTGTGATATGTACTCATTAACCCCGCGTCCTAGAGATATTCCAGCCATGTTCAGGAACGCCTCGTATGATGACTGTTTTGACACCCGAACTCTGATCGCCTACTGCATATCAATCATCCTGAGTTCGGCAATTATCTGCACCAACACTACTATTCTGGTCGTCTTCTTTCGTAACCGAAGTTTACGAACTTGTTCCAATGTTCCCATTATGAGTTTAGCCATATCCGACTTCCTTACCGGCGTCGCATTCACATACTCCTCGATTTGGAATCTAGTGTTGCTTTCTTCCGGCTACGAATTCGACATTCAAAAGACGCTTGCTTACATACGCATGCGCACCAACTACTTCCTGTGTTTAACTCTTGATGGGACAGGCTTGTTATTCACCTGTTTGATGTCGTCCGTTTTGACACTTGGCGTGATAGCGGTAGAGCGACACATCGGGATATTTTATCCCTTCAAGTATTCCCAGTGGATAACAACCCGGCGGATGGTTCGGGTCATTGTCACAGTATGGGTCGTCTCACTCATTGTCGGCATCTTGCCATTGTGTGGCTGGAACAAGTGGACCGACAAGTGTCAGCTTACCGAGGTAATGGACTATTCGTACATTGTTCTGTGGACATCCATTTGCTTCTTGAGTGGTGTTATCATGCTTTACATCTATATGAGAATATTCATCCTCTCCAGAAGACACAGCCGCCAAATTGCAGCCGTTCAAGTATCGTCTCAATCTTGTTCCGTAACTGCGCCGAGTACCCTTGTGCACGATAATACTTCCTCGGATGCGAAACAGCCATTGGATGACCAGCCGGTTCACAAGACAACTACTGATGAAGAAACTGAACGCCCTAATGCAACAGAACAGACAGAAGTTGAAACAGGAAGCATTATCATATCTATTCAGGGATTAAAAAAGACCATGTTTAGTATTCCATCAAAAAGAGACGAACCCGAGCAACATAATACAGATCCAGGAGTGAATACGTTACACAATACATCCCCGACGCCACCGGAAATTCAAAATCTCCCTATCATACCTGAACGGCGTCCAAGTAACCACCACAAACCAAGTAGGCGGGCGCTGGTAACCACAACAGTAATTTTGGGCGCGTTTTATCTTAGTTGGTCCCCGCTTTTGGTATTCCTCGTCGCTTTCGACAAGGTCACTATTACCTTCAACCTGACTGTATACTACCTGGCCGTGGTTACACAATTCAATTCTGTCTTCAATCCCATCGTTTATAGCGTCAGAAATCCTGATATCAAAGAGGCACTCCTGAAATTGTTCCGCTGTAGAAACTAAAGCCTGTATCTAGGATTCTGTTGGTCAACACGATTCTCTTCAATCGGTCAGATCTCATTGAGGGTCAAGTCGGCATCTTTTCTCAAACCAACTCTTTCCACAATCACATCAAATGATTTGACATGAAATTGACGTCATGAACAATAGCTTGGCCCCCTGGCGTTAACAATCATAGTAGAGTGTTCTAGATTTCGAAAGAAAACGCATCAAAATATTTGAAAATCGGGGTCCCTTTCTTTAGTTTTAGCTGACATAAATTAGAAAGGGGATTATCCTGTTGGTATTTTGAAATTGTCGTCGGTATATCGTGATTATACTGTCGCAAATATACATTTTTCTATAGTTCCTCTCTGCGTCTCCGGTAAAGCTCAACCGCCGATAGTCTGATAATTTAGTAGTGTTATCAACGGATTAAAGAAACGGATTGAGTTGAGACCATCAAATGTGCCGTGCTTACTTTGAAAAAAAAAGTTGGTCAATATGATCAACACTCACTGAGATTTACCGGAACCAAGAAAAGGCATTCCTGGGTATAGTATGAAAGAGCACCTCAAGGATCCCCGTATCACTACCAAAACGTGTAACTATCCATTGAAAATATTTTGTCCGGCATGACTATAGTTTTAATAAATAATTTCTGTTCTGAAAAGAAAACTATACTTTGAGTGTAAAAGTACGACAGAGCTAAACCATAATTCGGACTTGGTTGGTTGATGGTTTTTATTCTACACTTCTCTGGCGAAGTCGGTAATCGGTCGACATGAGGGGGTAAGTTGCCGCTTACCAGGCCCTCGGGGATTCTAAAGTCCTGCCCATCCCAGGCTCTGAGGTCGTACGGTTCCTCAGATGCGGACAGGATGTCACAGCGGCTGCGGTCCACTGTACGACGTCCTGAGTGTAGTCCTCGCTGTCCTCCTGCGAATTCGGACTCTGAGTTTAGATAATTTTACTGTCGCTCTAACCAACTGGGCTAACTGGTCAACAGAAGTGTTCTGGTCCAGCTGTGCTATAGGACTAGAACAACTAGATAAGTCAATCAGCAAGTGTTTCATACGATTGTAATCCCTACCTAAACTTTGTTCCGGTTTAATACAGTGCCTCTTAGTAATTTAAATAGGTAATTGTTGACATATTTTACATTGAATGAAATCTACAGATATTGAACTTTAGAAAGTTTAGTTTTAGTAGATTTTAATATGTGATGGCGGATTGATATGGGGTCAAATGTCAGGAGGTGTTCCCGTCCCACTTCACCGGTTTTGCTTGTAAACTTCCGGTTGTCAAAAGCAGACGGCTGTAGTGATAATGCCTCTTGAAGCCTTTGTCAGGTATGCATCTATGAATCTAGACAGTTGTCACTAATGTTGAACTTCAAATATTAACGCTATTAGCTCAAAAGCTTAGTAATAACACATAGGAAATGATATCTAAAACGAAATAAGGGAGAGGTTACTGTATATACATAAACTAGTGGAATTATCGAGAGTTTTGCCAGCGTTTGGATAAGGATCCTTAATTTAAACATCAAGAATATAATCCGGATATACTATATATAGCTACGAAGGCGATTAATAACATAAGTTTTCTCTTTTTTCAATGTTTTTTTTCTGTAAATTTACTTTTAAAAGTACCGTTGTTGTAAACTGCAAATTATAATGATTAATATAGAACTATTTATTATCATTTTAATATTTTGATGTACCGTGTTTCAGTGTTTCAAATCAATTGTTGTACAAGGGTAATGCAAATCTTATTCTTAAATTAGTTGACTTTTCAAGTGACTCGGCTAATATATTATGTTATTGTCCAAAGGTTTGTTAATATATGTTCCTCGCCTATATCAGGAGAGAGACTCTAGTTCCATGTTGTATATTTTAATCTAAGGTATAGAACTCTATAAATATATACGACTTTTATATCATCTGATGATAAAAAAAAAAATGTCTGTGTAGGGTTAACATTAATATTTAATACTTATCTTTAGAAAAGCATATCAGAGATAAACAGCGGATAGAAACGTTTTGAAAAGCGAAAAATAAGGCGACATACTTTCCCTAATCATTTTTACTGAAAAGATGCATTTTCCCCTCATCAGGTGATCTGAAAACCCTATAATCAAATTAACAGACACACACACATATATATATATATATATATAATCTAGTCTGTTCAGGGTTACTGCAGTTTCTAGACAAGCTGTGGTAAATACAGGGATACTTGCTACATAAACACAGAAAAAGTGAAGAGACAGATTCATATTTAAATACATTTTTTTTTAAATCCTGTATTTTTAAATGTATATTGTGTCCGACATGAAAAAATGAAATAAAATATGGTTTTAACTAAACACAGAAACGTGTTGAAAAATAAGCGATAAGCCCTCATACTTTTCCTCATCACTTTCCTTATATAACCCTGAACAGACATCATTTTCATTTTGCCTGACTGTTTGTATTGTATACTTGATGTAAACAAGCAGTTATTTTATCATTGTATATATCTATTTTTTACTAAATTTATTTCGATAATCAGTATCACTCTTTTTATTATTTTCGCATTAGTTCAAGTTCATGTTTTGCTACTTTGATGTAATAAAAGAAATCGTATTGGAATTTCCTTCATCAATGTCACCAACTTTTCTTCTTGGCAACTACCTGACTATATTTATAATATCAAAAATACCGACTTCTGCCTCCTAAAGACTGCTTAGACCTTCTTAAAGTTCTAGAAAGCAGACCGTGTCTTCCCTTCATCGGCAGCACACAGAACGATTTGCTACGCCACTGATCAGGGCACACCAAGATTTTATTAGAAGACTTAGGCTATATGTATGCATAAAGTGCATCGTGATATTTAGGAAAAGGGGGGAAAAAATCATATCTTTCTGTACAAGTTGTGGTCATGCCAACAACGGTTAAAGGGGGGTAACTCGAATTTCCCTACACAGAAATAATTGTTACATTTCTGCTAGTCATGCAATGAGACCATTTTGATATTTTCTAAGTTTTTGCTCACCAATGATGCAAAGATACTCCTAGATCAAACTCAAAATCGTAATCTATAAAAATACCACGAAAGATGACTGTTTTCGGGGATCCATATATTCTTCTGATCATGCAGACTGAGCTTCAAAGTAAAATATGCACAACAAACGAACTGGCATCACTTACTTATACAAGGAAATATATCATTGAAATTAGAGAAAGATCTGCTAGGTACTTCCGGAGGAATAGTTATAACAACCTCGAACTTTCAATATCCAGCATGCCCACCATCTTGTTCCAATTTAAGATTATCAAAATGAAACGCGCACAACTAAAAACAAAACATGCACAACTAGGAAGCAAAAATTCTACAAATGAGATTTGATTAAGATCTGTTCGACACTTTTTGAGAAATCCAGGATTGCTCATCTGGTGGCCGTCTTGTTTGTCCCGATTAGTCGCAAAATGAAGCATTCACAACTATAGACAAAACAAGAATTCCACGGAAGTGGATGTGTCGCCTGCGCAGGAAGCTGGGAGATTGTGCTTAGCACTGCATGAAGTTTGAATTGATCGGCCCAAGGAAACTCAAGTTATCGCAGGAAAACAGATTTTCTGTTTATAGTCACAGTGACCTTGACCTTTGGACCTGAAAAGGAATCCCAAGCGAGCATTTTTGGTAAGGAAGCACTGCATGAAGTTTGAGTTTGATCGGCCCAAGGAAACTTAAAGTTATCGCACGAAAACCTCTGGGCGGCCGCCGCCGCCATAGCAATACCTACGTGTCACCAGCTTTTCGCAGGCGACACAAAAACCCTGATCAGCCCAGTACCACTTGAAATATATGGGTACGATTAGTTTCGAAAGACAGTTTGTATAGCCTCAATACTACAAAGTGTGAAATATATATATATGTTCTTTTGTATTATGACGCATGGACAAGCTTCCAGGTCATTTGCCTTGACCAATAGTTAAAGAAGTTTTTTAATATCTTGTGCATCGTCGGAAACCCCCATGTTCGATTGCAATAGCGTGTATCGAGAATCAAACGTGGGTTTCCGACGATGTGTCTCAACTTGATCAGAAGCCATCTTGAATCTTTAAATTTTTAAGTCAGCCTTATAACAAAGTGTCTGCTCTATGCGACACTGCCATAGTTTCATTTTAATTAATTGTCACAGTTTTGGAAGATACATCATACATAAAAAATACTTGTGTTCAAATGGACTTTTAATATCCTAACTACAGTTGTCCCTACAAGATTTTATCCAAAGACGGATGATGCTGTTTCCAGTATACCACCCCTAACTTCAGGGCAGACATATACCTGGTACTTGTATGTGTGTAGTTTAATTTCCAGAAAATGTATGGTAAATTTTGTGATGCAATTTTCTTTCCTCTGATCAAACGGCAAAACTATGAAAATATTTCAACAAATAAAGGTACAAGAAAGCCGAGTCTGTGTGCCGGACATATGTACAGTCATCAACAACACTGGTGGTCCCCTCATTTCATAGCAAGGGCATTAAACCAGAAAAAATAACTACACAACACAACGGTAAGTTTCACAAGATCTTTATCCAAGACATAAATAAATGCAAGTATTATCATAAATATTGAACAATTCATATACAAATTATGTACAATAATGGTAGCTTTGTAAAAATCATATATTCTGGTATTTTGGTCTTTAATTCAATATCATTTAATATTTCAAATGCAATATTGTGTATGACAAAGGTTTGATACAAATATTTAATAGGAACACAATGAAAATATCTCATTATTAAATGCACATTGTATATATCTTCCAGATAGCGTGATTCGTATTGTATTTCGACACGTATAGTATTGCAGCATCACTCATGATACACACCCCTAGTCAATTGAAATATATTACCATAATAAAGAGAAATGCATTTCATGATTTCTACATGTTAAATAGCACTATATCAATAATAATAAAGCTTAACAAAGAGAATACAGCACTCAGTTGATGAATGTGCCTCAACTTTTGAAAAAATAAAAAATAAAAAAAAATCACAATCTGTTGCAGTCATTCAATCTTATCATATAAGTATTGCTATGGCTATTAAACTCATTCACCCCTGAAGACACATTTGAACTCTTCCAATTCAAAGGTTGGAATAGTTCATTTAATTTGAAATTTCCATGTTTTGGAAGAACTGAGCACTATATAAATACCTACTTTTCCACAGAAGAATACTGTTAAAGAAAATATGTAAATTACTGTCTTATGGCTTTCTAATAGGTTGCTTCAGTTTTGCAAATGACAATCGCACAACATTTTTCTGAACCCATACTATCATTGGTATTCAGTAACACTAAACCAATTACAGTCCCTGTTCGTTCTGTACCCTCTTCCACAGCCTACGACCCACACATCATGCAGTCATCCTTATTCTGGAGGGAACACACCATAGCAGCCATCTTTTCGTCTAATTTCTCTGTGCCAGTTTCCGATGTTTGGGCTAGCTTTGTTTTGTCCACAGTAAACTGGATTGCCGAGGCAGCGGCCTTGGTACGCAGGTAGTACATACCGGTCTTAAGTCCCTGCAGAAAGAAACAGATAATTAGTGCATTTCTCTTTATAGAACAGGGACATCTGCTCAAAAAGGCCGACAAAAGCTTATTTAATGTCGACGCTGCAGCCGGAAATGCAACACCTTAGTCTCACTTCTGCTACTTCGTGGCAGCGAGGCAAAAAACGGTAAAATGAATTATGAAAATACTAAGCTATCACTTCTTTTTGTGTAGGTATTGTTGTTGTCCTCTTATTAAATAGAAATAAAAAGCAGAGGACTGCAAATATCTGTATTTCTATGTCAAATCGTTGCCTGCTTGCAGCATGTTTTCTAAGACATGCTAGCACTAATATTGTGGCATACAGACAATTGAAAACATTCGGGCACAGAGAGTTCTACAATTTGTCTTGCATCTTAAAACACTAAACATCCCTGGAGACTTTGATGTAAATCTTTAACCTTCAAAAATAAATTTTAAAAGTTATCAAAACATTAAATTGATTAAGCAGGACATTTCCACTCACCAGCTTCCAGGCGTAGAAGTGCATACTGGTGAGTTTGCCGTAGTTGGGTTCTGCGATGTGGATGTTGAGTGATTGCGATTGGTCAATGAATGCTCCCCTGTCTGCGGACATCTTGATTATAGTCTTTTGCGAGATCTCCCAAACTGTCTTGTACAACTGTTTGATTTCATCTGGGATTTCCGGAATACTCTGTGAATGAATTATCGAGAGTCCTGATGAATGTGAACAAGTAATGCTAGTCGCAAAATGGCAAAAAAATATTGTTTAATGATACTGTTCAGATGACAAGTGCAAGAACCAGGGAAAAACTCAAAATATTTACATTAGGATTTATAGCAAGTGCATCTCCAATCATACAAAAGGAATGTCTTTCCATTGCAAATACTGAATAATTTAACAGATCTAAATTATTTTGGTTAAATACCAGCGGCCCAGAGGGCCTGTATCGCTCACCTGGTTACATGAAACTGACATATAATTAAATCAAGACCAAATTTGGTAACTATAAATTAACACAAGACATTTTAACATCTATTAAATGGTTCCGACGATATTGTTTGAAACTTGAAATTTTAAGTTTAAAGCTTTTAATAAACCCACATCGACATTTGTCTCCCGATTTGCACTTAAATGTTTACATTTGACCTCATTACTGTAACAAAGAAAACAAAGCACACTGCTGGTCTATACATTATAACATACCCAAGTATCATGACTCTTAGTCCAAATGGTTCTTAGGATATTGTTGTTTGAAGTTTTTAACACATTTGACGCCTGTGCCCTTGAAAATAGGTCAAGGTCATTTTAATGAGATAGCACTTCATCCAAGGTACCTAATGCCCAAATATCAAGACCCAGGGCCTAATGGAACTTGAGAAGAAGATTGTTAAGCTTTTAAACCATGTTTATATTTGACCCTTGACTTGCACTTAAAGTTGACGTTTGACCTCATTACTGTAATTGAGAAAAAGATTTGCACTGCAGGTCTACATAACATACACAAGTATCATGACTCTAGTTCAAATGGTTCTTAGGATATTGTCGTTTTGATTTTTTTTTTTTACATATTTGACCCCTGTGACCTTGAAAGTAGTCTAGGTCTTATTAATGAGGAAACTTTATAGCACTCCATCCCAGGTACCTACTGGCCAAATATCATGACCTAGGTCCTCCAGTTCTTCAGAAGAGGTTGTTCCAAAAGAAAAAGTTGATGGCTGGACGACAGACAGACGGACACCGCAGTACGGCATAAGCTCACATGGCCCTTTTGGCCAGAGGAGCTAATAAATGTGTAGTGTAGTAGTGGTTTGAGACTGGCTTAATTGCCAGTGACATATAAATTGTACCTCAGCAAAATGTGAAGGTGTAGAGGTTTTCAGTGTTGAACCCTGGACTGGCCAACTGCATTTTTCAACCTACCAGTTCAGCTCTTTACTTTCAAACCTATCACATACCAGTACTACCATCAACTCATTCACCCCTGAAATTTCATAATGAGTTATTCCAAACTTTGAATTGGAAGAGTTCAAATGTGCCTTCAGGTGTGAACGAGTTAAAAATATTGTACAAACGGAATAAATACCTGTATAGATCCTCCATTTGCAATGAGCTTGTTTTTCATGTCGTCATTCCACAACCCTTTCTCCGTCAGATCTCTCAGGAGATGTTGGTTCACAACCTACGACAAATTTTGATCATTTTAATTACATTTTCACCAGCAAGTCATTGTAATAGATGTTACAATAACAATAAGTGGACATTCTCTTGTTTGTACATTTCTGAATTATCTGCTGGAAACACCAGGTCATGGATCTAGTTTATATTTGGTGAAAAGTAGTTATGAAATACACAAGACATCACATCATGAAGCTTCATGAAATTCCATTAAGCAACGGAAGTCGCTAGAGTGATGACAAAAGTTTTTCTAAAAAAAATGCAACAATGACCTTAATTTTCCAACATAGAAACCTGAAACACAAACTTGTTCAAGGCATTGCCATACCAAACACATGTATCAAGTTCCATGAAATTCCTTTGAGGAATGAAGTCTGTAGAGCGATGACAAAGTTTTTCTAAAAAGGATCCCCATACCACTGACAAAAACTAATCATGCATTGGAAACTATTTTCTGGCATGACTATAGCTTTTATAAATCATTTTGAAAAGACGAGAATTACGCGTAATTATATGTCACCTGTCCCGCTTTGTCAATATAATAAGCATTTGACATAGTACATAAGGAAACCGACCTAAACGCAAAATCATAACATTGATTTTTTTTAAAGTCCAGAAATTTCAGGTTTTTATCAGAAAAAGTGCAGAAATCCATGAAATGTTTTTAGAGTAGTAGGCTCTACTACCCATGATACATGTATGATTGAGGTTTGGTTGGTGTAGCTCTTATACTTAATAAGAGCCTAATATGCAAGAGCTAAACGCAAAACCTTAACGTTGAGGTTTTGAATTTTGAGGTTTTGAGCAAAAAAATACAGAAATCGTTGAAATACTAGTAAAGAGTGTAATGCATTCATCTATACATCCCATGATAAACCTATGACCCAAGTTTGGTTGCTCTAGCATTTATACTTTGTCAGAAACAGCCTAATATGTAAGAGCTAAACGCAAAACCTTAACGTTGAGTTTTTTTTAAGTCCAGAAATTTGAGGTTTTTACCAAAAAAAAATGCAGAAATCAATGAAATGATTTTAGTGCAGTAGGCTCCACTACCCATGCTACATCTATGATCGAGGTTTTGTTGGTGTAGAGCTAAACGCAAAACCTCAACATTGTTGACGACGCCGTCGCCGTCGGAAAAGCAACGCCTATGTGTCTTTCCGACATCTGTCGTAGGCGACACAAAAACCATACCTTTGAATATAGGACTTCCATGATTTTTTTTGCAAAAAAGAAATAAATGTGAAAACTATATAATCAACAAGTGTTCTGCAAGTAAAAATTCAGCAGGGCTCAACCAGAATTTGAACACTGTAATACACTTGGCTACCTGGTGAAAGGAATGTCCTGGCAAAACTGTGCTACGGTTATATCCAAAATGAAATTACAGGGATGTTACTGTATTCCAAAAATACATTAGTAGGACAAGAATCCTGCAAGATTTTAATTATTACAACACTAAACAAATCCGTTTCCCTTCCTTGCCAAACAAGATGAGAGTAGTAGCAACCCTCCCCCAAATTTCCACGACAGATATATGCGTACCTGGAACTCCCCCGACAGGACCCTCCTGGAGTATATATTGCTGGTGTACGCCTCGATGGACTCGTTGTTCCCAAGGATCTGGGCTGTGGACGCCGTCGGCATGGGCGCACACAAAAGACTGTTCCGCACACCATGTCTGGATGAAAAGTAGCCATTGAATTATTAAATGATTCAAACTGTATCAACTCTTAAAATTATTACATGCTTTGTTTTCTTTCAAAACACACAATGCAAAATCAATTCCGACACTCTAGCTCATCAATAAAAAAGGTTATCAGTTCTTCGTGAACAATTATAAGTTGCAATGTGTTAGTTCAATTTTAATGAATTATATATACATAAATGGATTGAAAAATCATGAACAAGCCATTCGGATTGATGTGTCGCTTATGCCGCGCTTTGACCATCAATGCACACATCAAGTTTCGCTGGTCTAGCACTTACAGTTTCAGAGACTTACTTAAACAAAAAAAAAATCATGCTGATGGAAATGCTGATAAAATCAATGGACCATGAAAGGTCGGCAATCTAGCATTTGATGCATGCGTTAAGATGTATCTATAGTCAAAGTTTGGTTGGTCCGGCACTTATGCTTTCAGTGAAACTAACTTAAACGCAAAAACTTGAATGTTGATGGAGATGCCGACAAAGTTAAATGGACCATGAAAGGTATGTCGCATCCAGTTTTTGATGCATCTGTGGTCACAGTTTGGTTGGTCTAGTACTTATACTTTCAGTGAAAGTAACTTAAATGCAAAAACTTAATGTTGACGAAAATATCACGAATCAGGACAAGTGTGTTGAAAACTTACTTGGCAATCTTTGCCCGAAGACCATCCCAGTCGTGAAGTGTTGCCTTGACATCCCACATGTCATGCTGCAACATCTACAAAATACACAAAAGACAAAGAGACATCAATATGAAGTCAAAAAGAGTACACTTTCTTATGCCTGATAAACCCCAAATAGATGATAAATAGTGATGCCTTAACTCATTCATCCCTGAAAACACATTTGAACTCTCCCAATGCAAAGGTTGGAATAGTCCATTATGACATTTCAGGGGTGAATGAGTTACTGTTGTTAAGTAACATTTTTGCACCATATTTACCACTTGTCCTTTTTCTTTGTTGGCGCGTCCCATCCCTTCACCTTTCAGTTTTCTTACTTACCATATTAAGCGTATCAAAATCTATTTTTGTGTATTTGATATGCAAACAGGAGTTAACTCTATCCTCTGAAAATGCAGCTGTATATAAGTACAGATTTGCCAACTAGTAGGTGGCTGCTGTCTTCATAAAGATTGTAAATATCAGAAACTTGTCATCCGACACTAAAATCATTGCAAAACTGTGCAATTCTCCAGATAATTCTTTTGTAACAAACTTTTCAAACCAACTTGATTTAACCCTCATATATGTACATGCTGTAATAAAAAATTATTATGTCAAGATTTAAAAGTGACCATTTTTGATATATGATTTCCTGTAAAACCTGTTAATCCTACATATTAAAAAAAAAAAAAAAAAAAAAAAAAAAAAATATACTTGGCCTTACCCCTTTGCTGATGGGGCACCCTTCATAAGTTTCGTATGCCCCTAGTTCCTCTGCCAGTTCACAGCTCGCCTCCAGAGCCCCAAAGTAGATAGTCTCAAAGATATGCTTGTTCAGTTCCTGTGCCTCTGGGCTTTCAAATGGGAACCTCATGAGTATAAAGGCATCAGCAAGCCCCTGCACTCCAATACCAATGGGCCTGTGACGGAAGTTGGATCGTTTGGCCTGAAGAAAAAAAAATGAAAAATTGACATGTTATTACAATAACATTTTAATGCAAGTTATGTAACATTATTCCCAAACAGTTTCCAGACAATCAAATTTTTTCCTTAATATTATTCAGGATATCATTTTTCTGAAGACATTCTTTAACTCGTTCACTCCTGAAATTTCATAATGAACTATTCCAACCTTTGAATTGGAAGATTTAAAATGTGTCTTAAGGGGGAATGAGTTAGATAAATAAAATATATTCTAAATTTCATTTTGCCTATTAAAAACATTTTTAAGTTAGGTGCCTAAGCCTCTTAAGCACATTACCTTTAAATTAATATACCCAATTATTAAAACAATTGTCGGGTCACACATCACTCTAAAATATTTAATCTGAAAAACTTCCCCTACAATACGATAAATTGTTATTTCTGCGTAACATGGTGCAGTACTCCAGTAGTTTACAGTGTCGGCCTTACCTCCTCCACGGGGTAGAAGTTGACGTCAATAATTTTGTTCAGGTTCCTTACAATGACCTTCGTAACCGCCTTCAGCTTTTTGAAGTCAAACGTCTTGTCTGGTAGTACGTACATGTTGAGGGCAATGGATGCCAAGTTACACACAGCGACCTGATAAACAAGTAAAAATTGAAAAACTCAGAATTAATATTGTTGTTGGGTACGTGGTTTTCCTCCAGAATTTCAATGCCTACCCCTTCCCTATGAAAATATTTTAATTTCAAATTTTGTGTTTTTCTGAAACAGTCCACATTAATGTTCAGTCTTTGAAGAACTGAAAACCTGAACACTAAGAAGTCTTAACTATGATCAAAATATATTGTAATTTATATTTAATAAGTGAAATTTCATTAAATCTGTTAGAAATATATTTTTAGCAGTTGTCAAGATACAATAATTTCAAACTATAACAGGGACTTATATAAATGTGACACGGAGATTCTCGGGTAAAAAGGTCAGGTATTTCGTCAAGAATTGCATGTGATTTGCTTCAGGTTTCAGGTCGCCATTCAATAAATTTACAGTCACAGTCGGCATATAAATATATCTTAGCTACGGTCTAGTTTATGATTAAATCACCGATAAAAAGTTTGAAGAAATAAATCGGCTCAAAACGTATCAATGTCAATGTTCAATTCGGCCTCACCTGCAGACGACATGTGCGCCTCGGTCCGCCGATATTTTCCTGTTTGCGTAGAGCACAAAGCCGTTTACTGGAAAGTTACATATTATGTAACACCGAAGTATTTCCACATCAACCATGCAAAACCCTTTAAAACCTTTATTATCATCGTAGGTGACGATGGAGAATAAATGTTCACCATCATATTCATCGCTTCAATCTACACGTCCGCCATTTTTATGATTTTTTTTCGATTTGAAATTCTCTCGCACACCTTTGGTTATTACTAGGGTACACTGCCGTGAATATCGAAAGTAATGGCAAAACAACCAATCAGAAGCCGTCTACTATACGCGTTCGGGTTTGGTATAGCAACAACCTGACTTCACACTTCCTGGCTACCGATCAAAGCCTACAGACCGAGAAACGACTATAGTCGTGCGTAGCACTGACGGCCCGACTTTTAAAAACGACTATTGTTGTGCGTAGCAGCCTAAGGGTTAAATAGAATCAATTTGATAACCCCATATTAACATGTTACATTAATCATAGGATATATAGCCATTTTTGAAAGTCGGTCATTGGACATGAAGTACATCTGCTTCCAATAAGATTCATCAGTTTGAAAATATGCGATATCAAAGTTTTACTTTCTACATAAACAATGAACGTATTAAACGTGTCGCAACGTTAAATACATACATTGTTTGTGTAGATCTAGAAAGTAAAACTTTGACATCTGTATTGAAATTTTATTCAATACTTTAAGGGGCACATTACAGCCTATAACTCTGTCCTGTAAATTATATACACGGGAATGAGTGAAGGGAGTCTGACCTCGTCGGGACTGCTGTACTCCACGATCTCCGTACAGAGGTTGCTACACTTGATGGTGCCGAGGTTCTGTTGATTCGACTTCCTGTTACAACTGTCCTTGTACAACATGTACGGGGTGCCCGTTTCTGTCTGCGACTCAATGATGGCGTACCACAACTGCTGAGCTTTTATGGTCTTGCGTCCTTTGCCCTCTTTTTCGTATCTATTAAATTTAAAGTATTTCAAATTCAAAGAAATGGCTTTAATTTTTGACAAGTGAACTTCAACACAAAGATAAAAAAAAAAAAAAAAAAAATCTGGCCCCCTTTAAATACTGCCANTACTGCCATGTTAAAATTATAACATGTTTTTAAACCAGTTTTTCCATCGATGGTTAATACAAATTCTATCCTTGTATTTCCCTATCAACAATTATGCACTGATGAAAATTCAGTCAACTTTACCAAACAGGCAAGATATATTGCTTTATCAAACTTTTAATCATATTTTTTTTTTTTTTTTTATCAAAATCTGATACTAAATTATATATTATTAATTAGGAGTTTATCGAATATCGATCGTCCAATCACATCTAAATGGCCAAGTTTCATTAAAATATGACGATTCCTTAAAAAGAAGGATTAACCAGCAACCCACTTGACAGCCAATCAGATTGCAGTGGTCTCATAAAATATGCACAAATCAAAATCTGATCATCTCGAAAGATACTCCCTTGAAACAAATCTGTATGCCAAATATGATCATCTTTAAATGTACATGTTGCCTTTACAGGCGATACAAAGTTTGAAATGTAAAAACTCGTACTTGGTATAAAGCTCTTCAAACTTGTCCCCCCAGCAGTCGGCGAGCCCTGGACACTCTGCGGGACACATGAGCGTCCAGTCTTCATTGTTCTCTACTCTCTTCATAAATAGGTCGGGGATCCACAGTGCGTAAAATAGGTCACGAGCCCTATTCTCCTCCTTTCCCGTATTTTTTTTACAGTCCAAAAAGTCGAACATATCACAATGCCATGGTTCCAAGTAAATGGCAAAGGCTCCTGGTCTCTGTTTAAAGGTCAACACTCAAACATATCAGGATCTCGTAACAATGTTTTTCAGTCTCAATAGACCAGGCCAAACAAAAAACAAGTTTGTTTCCGGTTACATGTCAGAAAATATTAGGGTAGGTAAGCAGACAATACATTTTATTTTCTAGTTTTTTCTTCTTCAGTTATTCGGTTTTTTTAATATCGATTGATCTCGACTTTAACCGTTGAAAATAACCAAAAACAGTTTATGGTAGGCACAAAATATTAAACCCGATACAGTTTATGAGCATTCAACCTTCCTCAGATACAGCTAATCAGAAAAATTTCATGAATTTTGTTTTTTGCAGGGAATCTAATTCACAAGTGACCCTAGCGTCTCACAAGTTTGAACAAAATTATAAATGTCGAGATAAACTAATTTCGCAAAGTTATAGATAACACGTAGCTGAATGCATCTCAAGTGCGAACTGTTAGGAAGTAGACAAATTGCATCTCAACTCTCCAGCACATTTAAGTCTTACTTACCTTGTTGCCGCCCTGGTCCACATATCTTGCAGTGTTGTTGTACACTCGCAACATTGGGAGCAGGCCATTGGAAATCCCATTTGTCTATAAAACAAGAAATAATAATAGTAATTCGAGGTTTTATATATATACCGCTTTATCACAACCTAATTCGTAGGTCATCTCAAAGCGGTTCACAAATTATTATCTGTGCTCTGTGGAGAACAATGGTGTAAGTGAGGGTCTGGAAAGGGTTGTTTTAATTGGATTTGATTTACTGCAGTAAATCGCGTGAAGTGATGCGAGGCAATAACGAGGCACGGTCACTTGTGTTTGCTTACATTGTATGTGACGCAAGCGGGATATTTTTAATGACTTTCTTTTTAATTTTGTTATGCAGTAACAGATATATAATTGCCAGGGCACATAAAATGACATATACAACTTGAATTATGCCATTCTTGCAATCTGATCGAGATGACAATTTGCCGAAAATTATATTAAAGTTGCAAATCAATTTTTTTTGTAGACATTTTTGCCAATAAATGATTTTTGACTAAGAATTATCAAGTGAAAGAATGGAGATAATACAAATATTGATAGAGATGGTAAATTCCTAAATTATCAGCCTTTGGTTTTGGTGACAATGATTTGCTCCAATATGCATGTTCAGTTCTCTTATAAATATTTTTTGCAGTGTTAGTGTTTTATCGTCATAAAACATATAGAACATTTTCTTCATGCCAATAGTTCATTTCCTGTCTAAGATACATAGGATACATTAGAATGCATATAATGGGATACATAAATGAAAATTAAAAGGGTTGGTCTTCTTTTTGGGGGAGGGTGGCTGGTCCATGATTGCGCGCCATCACATGCACTTGTTGGGGACATTAAATTTTGGCGAAACTGAATCAAGACCCAGACCTAGCCCTGAAACACAGTGCTGTGACGTGACTCAAATCAAATACCAAGAACATAGAATACTCACTTAGACAATGTGATGAAAATATGATTTAGTTATAATTTTCTGTAAAAGACTGTAAATGACCTTTTCATTAATTTTTGACCAGCCATATATAAACCATGTATATATATTCTCATAGAGTGTATTAACTTTTGAACAAGTTTCTCTGCATCCCCGACCTGTAATTAGGGAACTCACCCCAGCAATGTAGCTACCGGTGCCTCGGATGTTGTGAATGTTGAGCCCAATACCACCGGCTGACTTGGATATAAGGGCACACTGTTTGAGGGTGTCATAGATACCCTCTATACTGTCCGAGTGCATGGTCAGCAAGAAACAACTGCAACACAAAATGCACGTAGATGATTATGTAAGTTTTTATAATTAGAATCAACATTAACCAATCTCATATAGGAGTAAAATCTAATGAAGCATTGTCCTAATTTTGAAATATATTTCATTTTGAAAAATCAGGCCCCTGGATCTTAAAACGATTCAAAGTCTTTAAGTTTTGACTAAGCCAATCACAAATAACGTCATGAAAAGTGATGTCATATATATGTGATTGCCTGAGCAAAAACTTCAGTCTTAAGATTTTCATGATCCCGAGGACAGGAGTGAAATTCATAAATACGGCATCCTCTACAAAGTTTGGATTTTCAGCTGAATGCTGCAATACACTTGGGGGAACATCAAATATGAATCAAACGACGGAAAAGGTCCAAATAAATTAAAGTGTCTGGTTTGGAATTTATTCTCCCAACAAAAAGTGCTTTTGAATTAGTCGAGGGTGAAGTAGGACCAGTTTCTACCTAGAAAGCTGCGGCCTGCATGTTCCAGCATTGAACAGTGTCGGGGAGGCATGTGTAAACCACTTCTCGGACAGCAAGTTGTACGTCTGAAATTTATAAACAAGATATCAACATGTCTGCAAGGCAGAAGCAAAATGTCTCATCTCCTTTGGTTAAAAAAATAATTTGACTAATAACTTATATTAGTACGCCCAATAATAAACAAGAGGCCCAAGAGGGCCTGTATCGCTCACCTGAATATTTAAGCAGTCATAGCAAAATATTCTCATTAAATATTATATTGCACTAAAAATATTTCCCTCGCAAACTTTGTTGGCTCCATCTGTTGAAACTACCAGCAAAAATAAGATTCTATGCTTTTAGATTCTTCTTCAGAAGTTGCATATTTTTCCCTGTGATCTTGTAAGTAAGTCAATGTCATTTTCCTTCTCAAATTGGTTAGCTCTATTCCAAAAAGCTACCAGCCAAATCTTATGAATCCATTCCTTTTAGTTCTCAAGAACAA